ATGGAGAATCTCAATATCAACAGTCAAAACAAGACCAGGTGATGACTGTGGAACAGACCATCAATTGTTCATAAGTAAATTCAATCTGAAGTTGAAGAAAACTAAAGCAAAACCATGAGAACCAAAATATGACCTTGAGTATATTCCACCTGACTTTAGAGACTATCTCAAGAACTTATTTGATGCATTAAACTCTAATGACTGAAGACCAGAAGAGTTGTAGGATAACATTAAGAACATCATATATGAAGAAAGCAAAAGGTCATTAAAAAGACAGGGAAGAAAAAAGACCTAATGGATAGCAGAAGAGACTCTGAAACTTGCTCTGGACATAATGAAGTACAAGAACGAAACAGAAAATACCCAGGGGCAGCTTGAGAAGACAAAGTAGAGTATTATAATAAAGGTTCTAAGATCTGAAGTTAGAAAATCAAAAGGGAGAACATGCTCAGAATTTCTCAAGCCGAGAGAACTGGGGTAAAATTCAATCCTCAGGTTACAATATTGAAGGATTCTATGTCCTGGTGTGGTGCTATAGGATAAGCAATGGACCACAAGTTCAGTTTAAACCTGAAAGGTTGGTGGTTCAAATGCATAACCTCAGAAAGTCTAGACAAGGTTGCTATGAGCCAGAAATGACTCGACAGCACTAACCAACAACAAATGGGTAAAATGTTGAAAAATGCAGGAAGCATGTTGTTGTTGTTGTTAAATGTCATCGAGTCAGTTCCAACCCATAGCGACACTGTGTAGGGTTTCCTAGGAGTAGTTGGTGAGTTTGAACTGCCAACCTTGCAGTTCAAACTGACCTTGCGGTCCACCACATTACCCTGTAGTGCCACACAAGGACTCCTGCAGGAAGCATTAAAAAAAAAAAGATGGAAGGAATCCACAGTCACTGGACCAAAAAGAATTGGTCAGTGCTCTACCATTTCAAGAGGTAGCATACGATCAAGAACCAATGGAATTGAAAGAAAAAGTCTAAGCTTCACTGAAGGCTTTGGCGAAAAACAAGGCTCCAAGAATTGACAGAATATTGTAAACTGTAAATTGAAATCTTACAACAAACTGATGCAGCACTGGAGGAGCTCACTAGTCTAGCACTTTCAAAAATTTTGGAAGATAACTACTTAGCCAAATGATTGGAATAGATCCATATGTGTGCCCATTCCAAAGAAAGGTGACTCAACAGAATGTGGAAATCATCAAACACAATCATTAATATCACATAATTAATTAAAAGGGGTGGCAACAGTACACTGACAGAGAGCTGCCAGAAGTGGAAGCCAGATTCAGAAGAGGACTGGAAGAAGGATATCAATGCTAATGACAGATGAATCTTGGCTAAAAGCAGAAAATACCAGAAAGATGTTTACTTGTGCTTTATTAACTATGCAAAGGCATTTGTGTGGATCATTACAAACTATGGATAACATTGAGAACAATGGGAATTCCAGAATACTTAGTTGTGTTCATGAGGAACCTGTACATAGACCATGAGGCAGTCATTCAAACAGAACAAGGGGATACTGAATGGTTTAAAGGTGTGCATCAGAGAGATATCCTTTCACCATACTTATTCAATCAGTATGCTGAGCAAAGAATATGAGACACTGAATTGTATGATGAATACTGTGGCTACAGGATTAGAGGAAGACTGGTTACCAACCTGCAATATGCAGATGACACATATCCTGCTTGCTGGAAACAAAGATGACTTGAAATATCAATGAAGATCAGACTACAGCTGTCTGTATAGATTGCACTTCAAGGTAAAGAAAATTAAAATCTTCACAACTGGATGAATAAGCAATTGCATGATAAATGAAAAAAAGATTAAAGTTGTCAAAGACTTCATTTTGCTTGGATCCACATGGAAGTAGTACTCAAGATATCAAATGACATATCACAGTGGACAAATCTGCTGCAAAAGTCTTCTTTAAAGTGTTAAAGAGCAAAGAAGTCAATTTGAGGACTACAGTGTTCCT